CACACCCACACACCCACAAACCCACACCCCACACCCACCCACACCCAAAAGAACTATTTTCTTTTGGAGATTTTAAATATTGGGTATTGTGCCATTAGTATAATGAAACCAAAAGAGATATGTGAGTTCCACATTTTAGCCCCAAAGGGGCTGCGCTAAGAAGCTTTTTTAGCTTTTAAATTACAATCCGATGTATCCAATCTGGTTAATGTAATTATGTTACTATTTTCACTGATGGTTAAAGATATCAGTATTGATCCATATAATCTTCCTAAAACTTGAGTAACATCTCTCGAATATGGCGCCCATAAATTGAAAGTTTCCTTTTCACAATCTCGACCACTCAAATTTGAAATAAATCCAATTGATGTATCATTACCAATGACAGATAATGTTCCATGCAGACAACAACATTGTGTTTGATTACATTCATCATCGGACCATTGATAGTCGCCAAACCACTCATATTGTTGCCCACATATCTCCGATGAACCAGTGATAAATATAATTATGAACAGTAAAATTCTGTATTGTTGCATTATTTTAGCAATGATTTTTCACTACAAAAACGTTCCTACACTGATCACGACCGATATAATTCAAAAGTATGTTTTCGTAGCTAGATTAGTTTTATATCTTGCTTCTGGCTTATTAAAAAAATTATTTTTTTTTGAATTACCTCTAAGTCAGGATGTGATGTAAAAACAGAAGTTTTGGTTTTCTGCTTTGTAGAATAAGACTATTCAACAAAAAGTTTTTGATACTATATTTCACGTTTGCGTTTCGTTAATCCAACACAAAGAATCAATTCAATACTAGAGTAAATGTCAGCATTGGAGCATGGTAATAATCCGATGAAAACTTTGTTTTTTCACCGAAACCTACATTTCTAATTATACAGATAAAGCTCGTGAAAATGGTTTAACGATATCATATCTAAAAACAACTGTAATGAAACAGAATAGTATCAGATTTCCGGAAAAGAGAAGCTTGTGATGGATGGTGAACGGCTTTTTACTGCTAAATCACTGATAAATATCAAAGGCAATGTAAGATACTATCTTGCCGAGCATAATGATCAAATATTATGCCATTCACGCTGTATCGCTGTTGTATTATTAAAGTAAAAGGGTTGACATATTAAAAGTATCAAACCTCTGTGACTGTAACTTATAATTTGAAACAAACATGAAATTTTTTGGGAACGCAAGGTATATAAACCTTCCTAAATTTTTTAAAACTAAAGGCAGGTTAGAAGACGCGAATCATGTATTGTGACAATCTCTTTATTGAATAACCATTAACACTACAATTACTAGAGATTCCTTGTTCCTTTTCTTGTATGTATATATTCTTCTGTCTTCTAAATTTTTACTGTGTTCTTTGTTTTTAATGTTGTTTTCATTTTCATCACTGTGGATTACGATGAAAACAAAAACAGTTGATTAATATTCTCCTGTGAATAAAATTTGACTACATGCATAGTTGTAAGACACCCTGTACTCAATACAACTTTCGTAATCTAATGAGATCTAAAAACTTTTTCTTACAAACCGGAAGCAAGAGCTAGATTATAAGCAGATATTAAAAATAAAATTTATTACGGTCATGATACATAACTGAAAATGCGGTAAGAGATATAACAGCACAGTTTTTATCTCTACTAAAAGTGACAGATGGGTACGTCATTGTTATGAGAACAGAGAAACTAATATCGAGATTGAAGACCATCAGCTTATGTATCTTATTTTTCATCCATTAGGCCACCAGAACTGAATAGAAAATGAAAAAAATGTTCTTACTTATCGTTATAATTCTATTTGTGCTCTCGCTAATCTGTTATAAATGTCGTTAAATAAATTTCGTATTCATTAAAATAAATATTTTGTTTGAAAAAGAATTATATGAGATTATTAACTCATCGCAAAGAAAACGAAAAGAGCCAATTAGGCCACAAAAGATATACGAGAAAGGAGAAATAACACAATAGTTACAATTTACATACTATCTCTAACTGATGCAGTCCTGCTCCTTTGAGTACCCAGGTTGATGTCTCCGACGACTGTAAAAAACGATTTATGATGACGTAAACGGTTCATATTTCGCCCGTTTGATAGCGACAGTACTATGGCAGTAGCACACTGTGTCATATACGGCGAGATACAAACACTAAGTACGTCTAGGGATGGGAAGTTACCGTTTTCAAACCATTCCCAAGGACGATGACGGTAACAAAAAGTTCGCAGTTCCATCGGAACGATAACGCCCCGTTCCCAGTTACCCAAAAAACGCACTTAACGGTTAGGGGACTACCAAGCACTATCAATCTCATAGCCTTGGTCCTCAAGAGCAACTATTGGAGGTACCCTTCTGCCGACAAGCCCTACCATTGGAGATATCGAAGGGTCCAAAAATACTAGTATTAGCCAATGCCTTCGGCTCATCAAGTGTTTGTACAGCGGGCTACACTCACCCCAACTAGTGTAACTATTACGTGGAACCGTGCGTCCAAGCTATGCAACTTTTGCGCTGAACTGTTATGCCATCAAGTTGAATTGCCAGTAATAGGGATAGCCTTGCCCAACCACTGCCAGAGTTTGGGAGACAGCCTTGACCAAAACAATGCACGTGTCGCGTGGTACCCTTGTCACAACAATTACTGGTGTTGCCAATAACCTTGGCCACTCAAGTCTTATCATTGGGGGGGGGGGGGGGGGGGCCGGGGGGGGGGGGGTAGGGGTGTGGGGTGTGGGTGTGGGTGGGTGGGTGTGGCTGTGACTGTGGCTGTGGCTGGGGCTGGGGGTGTGGGGTTTGGATCGAGAGGAGATAAGAACTAACATCTACACCCACACCCACACTCTTTTCTTCGTATAGAATCATATTTTTCTGTTTCCGATCATGGAGATATATGATCATAATACTGTATTACGTCAACAGCCAAAATAGAAGCATATACGGCTGTTTAGAACTCTACAACAATGACTCGTTGAACTTTAATACTGGCTTTACTGAAAACTAAAACAAGTTATAAAAAATTACTTTTGATTTTAATACAAAATGCTTAACACTAACAACAAACACTGAGTCATGCATATTAATATGTTTTGATTCGAACTGATTTTCAATTGTGACTAATACGCCTGTACTGGTATTCTCAGAGTAACCTGTAACTCGTTGAGAGTGTTCAATAGAGCATTGAATTCCATACTAGATTTTATGATAAATATTTATATAGCCAATACGATCAATCATTATACTCAATTTCTCGTGTATGATAAAGCGACTGTTATCATAATAGTTGGTATTGCGAGTATTGATGTTATCAGTCTAACAGAACTGAAGTGACTCTATTGGGTCATGCATGTTAAACTTCAAATATGAATTTTGTTAATATTTCAAAACTTGAAACTTGAGATTTTCATTCAATTTATATTTCGAGTTTTACACTGCTAGAGAAATTAGCTGTAGTTATTGATTTACGACTTGATAATGAGAAGTCGATGCTGATAATTCAAGCTGTTTCAATATTCTAATTGTATTAATGAGACATAGAACTCAAACAATAACAGATTATAAGCATCATAGTTGTATTTTAACTAATAAACCAGTCGTATTCTTTTTATATTTGGTTTAAGTTCTGTAAACAAATCAGAATGAAGGTATCACAGGTTCGAGCATGCCCACTCATATATGCCTTGGTATATTTTTGTACGATCTTTATTTTCTGAAGGAATAAATAAGTAAAATAAGTTAAAATAAAAAGTTATATGTGAGTATAGAGAATGAGAAGAAAGAGAAGCTGATGGAAGATGAAAGAAGAATAGAGCATAACATATTGATAATAGATTTGTGCAAGTGTAGAGTTACGGCAATAAGCATTGTCTGGAATTCTTTAGGAAATGGCGTCTAAAAAGCAAAGTTCTTTAGAATGCTCGATATGAATAGCAATAAAACGAAAATGTTTAAAGTTTTGGCTAAGATCACGTCGATGTTCAGGGAAATAAAGGATATTGTGGTACAGCAGCTGTGGATGAGCCACATTTAAAACTGTACGTTATCGCACAACCAGGATTGTTTGTAGTGGAATATTCCTAAAGAATAGAGGAAGATATTAGATTAGTAATGAGTAAATAAAGTGTTGTCATTTCTGCTCACGTATGCACCAACAGTTGGTGTTGTATTTGATCGCTGCATTCCGTTGTAATCATAAAGAACTTGATTCAGTGGATTGGCACCTTTATTGATCAGTGGAGAGTTTACTGCTGGATAAAGTTTATCGGCTGTAGCATCAACGAAGACATTGCTGGACACTCCGAATGTTCCATTTACTTGAATACCTGTAGCATCAAGAGCACCATTGATAGCATTATTGTAAATTGAAGCACCTAGAACAATAAAAACGTTAGAAGTTTCTCAAATACTTTGCTAGTGCTTGTATAAGCTTACCTTTCAAAGCCTTCGTAGACTTGATTGATGATTGACTTCCGCAGTATAATACATTATTGGATATTATTATAGACTGATTTGTAACGCCATTGAGACGAAGACATGCATCCGCTTTCGACATGTAAACAGTATTTCGACTAATCGTTATGTTTCGAATATAGTTGATAGCAGGATAAATCGAATTTTCAATGACGCCAATTCCAGAAAGAGCTAACAGTTAAAAATCAATAAAATAGTTAATTTTATTGAGTTTTTCTATTAAAGTTTTCTTGAGTTTATTTCTGTCCAGCAATATGCTCTTTTTTGAAAAGAAAATTCTAATCGCCTCGTTGAACGTAAGACGAATAAATAAGAAAAAAAATTTCTTTAAGCCTAAAAATATTTTTATTTTTATCGAAACTTTTCATTTCAATTATTCTAATAAAAATTGTCTTATGAAGTTCTAGACATTGAACAATGGCAAGATATCGTCCAAAATATCCGACTTAAAATAATCCTCACCACTTTTCAATAAAAAATGATACAAGTTTATAGAAAAGAGTACGATCGACTCTTTCATATGAAAATTTTGCACCTACTAGCATTAATCACAATATTATTAGTGATTGTTGCTCCAGATGTACATTGTATTCCAAGATCAGCTGTTCCAGCATAAATTGCTAAGTTTCCATCAATCAAATTTCGTCCACGATCATAATCATCATAAACAATAATACAAGGTCCAACTACCTTGTAACAAACATTATTACGAATAATAACATTGTATGAGCCGGACTAAACAAACACAAAGTTATTTAGCAAATCAACATCAATCTAGATTTACTTTGACTTGAAATCCAGCCCGTGATCCTCCTGCTGAATTAAGTGTATCATGACAGTAGTTATGTTCGATAATAGAATCACGAATTCGACATGCGTCATTGCTACATCCAAAATAAACACATTCACCGGTGGTATTAGCTGTATTGGTAAAAACAATAATAAGACAGTACAAAAAAGCAGAATTGATAATTCATATTTACCCATTGTGTTTGTATTTGTTATTTCACTGTTTCTTAACGTTATATTGGAATATTCATTACCGGCATCGTTG